AAAAAAAAAAACGGAAACTACGGGTTAAGGTTACCGTCCGCGTCGGTAGGTTCCGTTACCCCCNNCCCCCCCCCCATAAGCTAGGGTATCCGCTGGAGTTATACTCGCCTATAAGCTCGAGTTTTGGAATCGTCGTTCGCCTCTACACCGTGGTGAAATCTCACGAGGAGAGACAAACTCCGATCCGGAAGTAGATGGTAGACATCTAGTATTCATCAACGTAACGTTGGAATTATTGGTGTTGTGCCGCTTTCTTCTTCTGGCGAGTTTGCTCGGCTTTGTGGTATGCAGCGATATCATTCGGATAGTCAAAAGCTTCGGCTGACTCCCAAGTTGGATCACCTTCCCGCCAGCGTACCAAGTATTCTGTATTTCCTGTGGAATCATTCTGTCTATGTCGAATGATGTAACGGAACGAGGAACTATCCTGCCACATATGGTCTTCTAAAGGTATTTCGGTGGCTCTATGGACTAATCGCAAAAGTTACACTCTAACTGGTTTATCTTTGAAAGTATCTGGAAGTGAACCATCCTTGTGTGTCAGTTTATATCCTTGTCCCTGTCTGGCTTTGACAACGTATGGTCCAAACATTGGTCGCATTGCTTTGGTTGTGCGACCTTCGGACCGTACCATTACCACATCCCCTGGTTAAAAGGCGATAAAATCGTAAGCATGGAGGCGGTCAAACTGCCTGGATAGTGTGTCTGCGTATTTCTACGTGACCTTGTAAAGCGTCGGCAAGATAGCGTCGTGCAAACGATCCAGCCGGTGTGCCCAAGCCTCATTGGTGACCGGCTGATTCCCCGGAAGGTCATCCGTGAAGTCAGCAAACGGAACATGACGGCGACCGAAGTAGGCACTGAATGGTGCTGTCTTGTGTCGCCGAGATATTCGGAGGTTCTGGCGCAGCATAATAAGTGGTAGTTGGACATCCCATGCCGTAGGTAAAGATTCACATAGCTTGCGAACTCCTTCGTGTATGTCTGTGTCTTCTCTCCGCTGCTCCCAGAACCTGAGGACGATATGGTGGCGTCTTCGCATGCATCACTCCAACTTCTTGAGTCATTAATTTAACAATCCTGTTCGAAAACTCGCCTCCCTCGTCTGATTGAATTTTCCTGGGAAAACCGTGTTCCTCAAACACCTCCATAAATTTATTTTCACATATCTGTGCTCGGATGACTTTGTGTCGTAATTTGCAAGCTCCTTTCAGCTATCCGGTTCTGAGGGAAATCAACTCCTGTAATTTGTCAATAAAACGAATTTCTCCGTCTACTATTATCCCCGAGATAAAATCGAATCATACACCTAAAGTAACTAGTCGTAAAAATGTAGTAAACATATCAAAATACGATACTAAAACCTACTGAGTCTCCCTGAGGCTCAGTGCGGTGTATTTATTCTTATATTTGATCGTCTACGTGATCTACAAATATTTCACCTCGTGTGAATTGATTGTAAACTAATTTTTATCTCCACACTGATAGTGGTTTAAGGGGACTTTTACTACAACGTACGCCAGGAGAAATAGTATCCGCTTCGCTACTCACTAATACGCAATGGCACTTACTACAACAAAATGGGCTGAGCAGAGACGAACAGTATAAAGCGTACATTCGTATGTGAGATCGCCAACGCTATCGAAACCTTTGATAAGATGAGACACTACACCTCGCAAGTACGTAGATATCTAGCAAGAAAGTTCTACCCAGACGAGGAAACAGTTTTTTGGTTGTAAATCTGAATATGAAGAGATAATGTTCAACAGCCACTTAAAAATGCAGTTCGTTCGGAAAATCATTCTTTTGTTTGACAATGCCTTATACTTGATACACACTTGCCAATACTCTTGTGCACTTTGATGTAGTAAGGATGTCAGCGAAGAAGAGCTATACTACTCGGCCATATGCAAATGCAGAAAAAGATCAACACTCGCAGTGTATGGTGCACTGACGGCTTACAACCAAGATCTCAACTCGACTAACCGCACGTCATCCCACTGGACACAGAACCAGCTTATCTATAAAATGCAACTATTAGCCAGGAGATAGTGTTGGAGGCAATAATGCGCTTTCCAAACAAGGTTCCTGATCCGGATGGTATTCAAATCCTTAGTCTCAAGGCCGCATTATAACGATCAACTAACCCCTTGGATATGGGACGCCCTGACTTTAGCAGACCACTAATTAGAATCTTGGTTGAGATATTCTCCGCCATCTTAATGGCTGGTATATTCCCTATAGCTCTCAACTGTACCCTCCTAACAGTCCATCCAAAGAAAGCGGACATGTATATTGCATCCCCTGTCAACTTCCGACCGATAACCCTGACGCAGATTGTTCGACGCACTTTTGAGAAGTGCTCCCTACAGTTGATAACAAATCACCCCGTCTCAATCGCTCATGCCATCCAAACAGGATCCAAATCACACTACTTCTGTCAAACTTATGCCCTCGCAGCGATTAAATCTGAGACACGATTCGAGGATGTCTGGAATGATGTGTGTCTTGACATCACTAAAACACATGATAAAGGGCCCCGTCCGCGCATGTAGATACTGTTGCGTCACGCTATAGTGCCAGAGAATTGTATCAGTTGTCCCCGCGCTTTGTTTAAAACATTTCCCGTACTGGTGACGTATGTGCTAAGCTTTTTTCCTTTATTCGATGAAACAAATGCCATACTCCGAGGTTCGAGTGCCGGTTCACAGCTTTCTATCATCTATATGGACTCCCAGACTATTATGCTTGCGCAATTCCGGCCAAAACTATTCTTTTCTTTCCACTTTGTGGACGATACACGCATCCAGGCTGCTCAGTCTGTTCGGCTGCAGCACTTTCTGAACGCAATTGATGATTGGGGTTGCCAGTTGTCAGGACAAACAAATCCACATTCTACAAGTCTCAAATACTAGGGCAGTTCAGTACCCCTGACTGTCACCAAGCGCCACCAAGTGTTACCCAATATATGACACCTACTATCACTATGACACCTATTATAAATATGACGCCTATTATGATTGAACAGTGGTCTCGCCATAAGAATGTAAGGCGGTAGAATAAATATATAACACCTCAGAAGAGGGTACAATAAACTTACTTCTACTCAAGTTATATTTGTCAACAGGTTATGGGCCAATATTGGACGTAACCGTGTACGAGTACCAAACAAGCTACAACCAAAATACGCAACATTTTACGACCTACTCTCGTATCTCTATAATTACGCTCAAAATTCGCAACTACACCTTATACACCACACATAACTAGCCATCGCACTTATCTCACATACGTAAGTCCAAATCAACGAGCAAAACCTCTCTCCCACGACACCATGGCTAGAATGGGACATATCACATGGCCAACTGCCTTTGAAGCTGTCGACGAAGCCAATCGCTTTCGCGATGAATTCTTCCCTGACTATCCCATGTACCCTAATGTGTCAGCCGCCAACCAACACCTCCAAGCCATCACTACTTGTATCAAGCAACCACGCAGCCCACCCGATCAAGTCAAGTCTTTGGATCCACCACCCGAGCCTTATCACACTTTACCCTCGCAAAAAGCGATGCACAATTCACCAAGAAACTCAATACAGAACTTCAGGCCGAGATCGATAACTATAAACAACACAACGTCGACCTTGGCAAACGTGGCCAGTATGCCACCCTCCTCAATGAAATCAAAGACATTTCCGACCAGCTCCGTACAGCCCAAAATAATCTGCAACATCGCGATAGCCGCTCCACCTCCAATCTCACTGCCATGCAAGCTGAAATATACGAACTTCGCACCGAGCTTCAAACAGCACACGACACTATAGAACAAAATGTCAACCAGACACGAAAGTGTGAGAGCTACGCCGATCGATACGGCATTAGACCCGAAGCCCTCGGCTATTCCGCACAACTGCCGACGCAACAAACGTGTAAACTATGAAAACTTTGGGGCATGGTTTATTGGTCTTAAACTAGAGCTCGAACTCTTCGGCGTCATCCATCACCTCCACTCTAAGTGCTCCGATTCTACAGTTGGTGGTTGCAGCGAAATTGTTGCCGATTCAAAGTGCCGACGTATCATGATCGACTCCATTGACGACAAGCTCGTCACCACCGTATACAAGAACCACCTGTCTGAAGCACCCTGGGAATTCTTTGAGTATATCTGCATCACGAATAATACCGGCAGCCAAGGACGTTTCTGGAACGGTATAAAGAAACGTACTAATTTCACTGCCACTGGTATTACTGAGTCCAGTATGCAAGCCCTATAGTCTATACGACAGGGACTACTCGACGTCGGCAAAATGATACCCGACGATTGTCTCATATGTGCTTTGCTTTACAGTCTCAGCGACAGCTATGATCTTCTCCGCTCCAGGATGTTTGTCACTGACACAGACAAACTCACCCTCGAAGATGTCTACCAACAAACTTTAAGGTTTCAGGGTGATCATCAAATCTAACCCACCCCTAACCCCTCAGGTATCAACTCCGTCAAAACACAATTGACAAATGGCACTGGTACCAATGGAGGCAACGGGAACCGAACCAAACGCGAACGCTACTGTCCCCTCTGTAACACTAACGAGCACGGACTTTTTAGCTGCCCAACTTCCATTTGTCGCAAATGTGGCTCGGAATACCACTTGGGAATCAAATATACTATCGACCGCAAAACACTCAAGTGCCGTAAATGCAACAATGTGGAAGGACACAATGATCTCGCATTCTTCAAGTGAAACTACGGGGTCCGACCAAACGGTGGTGCTCATATTATACATAGCTCAACTACAAATACTCCACACATAGACTCCACGCCACCACCCTCACGTCATTACCAGAAAGGTATCGTATACACAATTCCGGAGGGACCCACAGCTCAATACCTTACAGCATCTCTCATTGATTCCGGTGCTATTGTACATATTCGCAGCACAGAAACGGGAGTCATTGACATAGAACACGGGGATTTCATAGTGGAATTCTCTGACAAGACGTAAGTTGCCCTACACGAACGAGGTATACTTCCGGGTTTAGGCCCAGTGCTTATCATGCCTCAAGTTACACAGAATATACTATCAGTTCAGCTTCTACAACGTCACTGTTACGGTATCTATTTCCCACCGGCAACCCATATGAACACAGCCACAGAATGTCACATTATCCACAATAATCAAACTATACATCGTGTACACTTGTCCGATGGTCACAATATAGCATTGTCAACATTGCTAGTGGATCACTCGATGAATGGCATAGAAAGCTTAGATGTAGTATCTAGGGACCAGCTTATCAAAAAGCCAATACAAATCCCAAAACCCAGAATAATCAAATACTGAGTTTTGGAATTAGGATTGGAATATTTCTGATATTAGAGTCATCAGAAATAATATTGGTAGAACCGGTAAGATATACCGGGACTCCCGCGTGTGAGAGAAACACTCAAGTAAACCCTGAGTCTAGTGAAAACACAAATAAAGACTCAGTTCGGTTTTCTCAGACTAGGGATTTTTCCTAGCTGAGATAGCCGTACTTGAGAAGAGGTCTATTGTATCATATTGTCTCGTACCTTTCAGCTACTCTCCATACTCTACATGGACACACACATTCTGCTGTTAACAAAAATAGACTACTCAACAACAATATATCTATTCCCAGACCACCCCGACCCAGTATCGATAATTATAAACTACATCCAGACCTTTATCAAACATACGTCCTGGATATCTTTGGAGCTGTCGACATCGGCATATTCGCATCAGCCAACAATCATCAGGAACCTGTATATTGCAGCTTATAGCCCGATGCACCACTCGTCGATGCTTTTCAACAATCGTGGTGACAGCTCGACAAACACCTTTACGGCAATATTCCATCCCGGAGGAAAACTTGGTGCGAAGCCCTGCTCAAGTTAGAAAAGGACGACGGTCTGATGAATATGGCCTTCCCCTTGACACCTGGTACACAAAACTACAAGCAAACACTTCTGCAACTACATTCCCATGTGGAGATCATACGCACAACAGCAAACACTTTCCTCAAAAACGGCACGGGAGCCCGTTGGACCACCCAAAAGGCGATATATATGCATCGCACGTATAGGTAATACAAAGCACGCAGTACCTCCCACGGATGACTTACTGTTCACGGAAGCCGATGTCATAGCGCACCTCTACAACCTCACCTTCTGCACTCCTTATGTGGAAAGCAAAATGCGACGCCGTCCCATAAGCATCCCGACACATATCCACCAATCGGAACGTAGACCTCGAAACAGGATTGCCCGCAACACCAAACGGCTACACGTCTAATATCAAATACTTAGACGGCAACTGTGGCATGATATTCTTCTTTCCCCTCAAACACAAAGATGATGCCACTGCTACACTGGATCAATTCTACACCAAAATCGGCAAAGAAAAGCTTGCCATACTCACAGAGCTTAAATATGATCGTGGTGGTGAATTCATTTCTGTGGGCAAACAACATAATCATGAACACAGTCAACAGCCTCTTAAAAGACAGCAATCAACTCGAATGTATGTGGGCAGAAGCAGCACGATATGCCGTCTTTACTCCAAACAACCACAAGAAGGACCGCAAACCTTCCTGAGAGCTGTTCTACGGAGAAAAACCGACCGACCGGCTTAAACACTTACATGTTTATTGATTTCAAGTAGCATTCATAAACCAGGACCCGGAGGGAAAATTGGACGACAGATCACTCATTGGTGTATACCTAGGTCATGACGATACCTCTAAATACTATGACGAGTGTCACATACTCAACCTCGAGTCTAGGAAGATCTGCCATTCCAGAGATGTTAAATTCAACTACTTAGTCTTCCCGACTTGGTCCATGATAGAAAACACGCCGGTCCCAACATTCACGACCAAAGTCGAGGATGTTCCCACAATCTGCGAACTCACTCTTGCACTCGTTAATCAACGCCATTCAGACGCCACTAACGTAGACAGTGCCATCAGCTCTGATGCTAGTGCCATACCTTCTACGGACCCTACCATGCAACCGCAAAGTATCATACAACCACAGATAAGCGTAACACACGACCCTACGCGACTAACAGCCACCACTCCTCCTACAGCTTTACTGACGCATATCTTATTACCCACACCCAATGTTGCTCATGACGACACGCATCTTCCTAACATCGACAACACATTACCAAGTACGCCCACATTGGAGTCCACTATCAATGCCGACTTAGGCACGCATATTGCCAAACATCCCACATCTCGCACGCTCAAAGGCCTACTCCTTCTACCGCGCAATAATACCGGGGAACTCAACCAACCTACCCTCCCCGGAAACATGCGATGACATGTACACGTACAAAACAAATGCAGGCATACAGCGCAACTAATCAATTTGGCAACACGTCCCCCGCCTTACCTGGTACGACACCAATCAACTTCATACCGCTTCATCGCCAGCGACTGTCATTCCCAAGGAGGTCACAATTACGCTTCCAGGGGAGCCACCGGCCATCACAGCACAGACAGCTCCGTCCATCGCCAGTTTAGCCACCCAATCTTGCAACAAACACGTCACATGGGCACTGGATATCGAAAACATCGGTCACCATCGACATGATCGACTATCGAACGGAAAAACTCAGCATTCGTGATTGACACATACGTGCCTTAGCCCATCTCAAGCGTGCACACAAACAAAACAAGGCAGACAAACAATTCAGACGCCCAGCTCGCCAGCTCGCCAAGACATGCACTAACAAACTCATGACTAATCTGCGCGCCATTATTAACGTTGTTAGCGTGCGGTGTGGGGGACTAATAGTAAAGTGCTAGTGTAGTTAAAGTATAGTGCATTCGAATCAATTTATTAATGATCTCACCCTCAGTTATATACTGATGATGTTTGTACTAGTGTTCAACCACTTGGGTTGGCCAGGGTAAAAACTCAAATGATTAGTATGAGAAACCTTATGCAGAACACTTTAGCACTCGGATATATTTTCCAGAAATAAATATATCATATTCTCTGTTACTACACTCAGTCTCGGACCTCGGCTTTCGGCTAGCCGGTGGCCCGTATTCTATAAATAGAATAATCTGAGAAGAAGTCTCAAATTACTCTTACGTTCTCTCGGGCTGACCCACCTATACTTATATTAATTTGAGAACAAGTCCCAAATTACTCTCGGGCTGACGACGTAAAACGCTATTAACGTATATATAATTACGTCTACTACTGTAGTCTCTCAAACGTCATTCGTGTCCCTGCAAATCACGACTATGATGAGGACTACGATCTCCCAATCCTCATCAATACACAACTACCCACCACAACAACATCACCCAATAGGGATCAAGCCAAACAACAGGCGATGTACTCAGAAACTGTCCAGAAGATCTATAGTGTCTGTACTGCCGTACAAGTAAATCCATTAACTCCTAGCACCATCCGTGCAGCACTAAAAGGGCCCGATGCGGATTTATGGCGGGCATCTATGGAACGTGAACTCGCGAGTCTTCAGAAAACCGGCACCTTTTGTCGTCACAAAAAAATGGGTCTTCAAGGTCAAAATGATCGATGGCCTCGTTGACAAATACAAATCGCGTCTATGTGCCCGAAGCTTCACACGAACGCAAGGAATCAACTATGACGTGACATATGCACCTACCGTAGCCACGAAACACTTCACACTCTCTTAGCGGTTGCTGTATCAGCTGGGCGGCACGTTGTACGAATGGACGTCGACAGCGCCTATCTTTATGCCGACCTAGATGAACCCATATAAATGAAGCCTCCAAAAGGCTCCTTTGCAGTAGGTTTGCCGGACGATCATATCAGGAAACTGAAGAAAAGCCTCTATGGACTTAAAGAATTTGGGCGTCTCTGGCATGCTCTGATTCGCTCCAAACTACTCACAATGGGCTTTTAAGTAAGCACAACCCGACCCTTGTCTCTTCATCGCCGACACAAACAACCTCAAGTGTATCGTATTGCTTCATGTTGACGATCTTATCATTTGTGGCCAAACAGCAGCAAACGTTTAAACATTCAATCTACTCATCTCAAGCGAGTTTAGCTGCAGAGATCTAGGGACCCCACAATGGCTATTAGGCGTTCGCATACTCACCACGCACGACTTAATCAGCATGTTACAAGACAACTACATCCAGGAAGCATTGGAGACATTTGACATAACAGTATGTCACCCAGACCCTACTCCCGCAACTCAACTACCAAACAGCGTAAACATCGGCACGGCCTTTGTATGCAAATACCGTTAATTGATCGGCACCTTACAATATTTGTCAGTGCTCACTCGAATCGATATCACATATACTCTCAACACACTGGCAAAATATATGGCGAATCCGTCTGAACAATATTGGCACGCCGCGCCACGTAATTTACAATACCTTAAATCTACGCCCAACCTCTGCTTAACATATCACTATCAGCCAGGACCACCTGTCGCTGATGCCATCGGCCACGCCGATTGCGCCGCTTGTCCCGTTACACGCCGATCGACAACTGGATACGTCCCACGTATCAACAAGACTCCTGTCGTCTGGAAATCAAAACGACAACTAGTTTTATCCAACAGTACTGCCGAATCCGAATACTATGCCCTACCGGAAGCTGCTAAACACATCCAGTGGTTACGCCTCATCCTTCATGAACTCGGCTTGCCACAAACAGCCCCTCCTATTCTATATTGCGACAACAAGTCAGCCTTGCGAGCGATAGAGTCTACTGGTCCAACGAAACATCTCAAACGAGTGGACATCAGAGTTCATCATATCAAAAAATTACAGGAAATGGGAGTGATCGATGCTGCCAATATTAGCTCTCTCACAATCACGCCGATATTCTCACTAAGAATATTGCCCGACCCACGCACTCGAAACATACCTCGGAAATGCTCCGCATAATTCCACCAGCTCAGTAGAGAAACAATCCAGGGGAGACCATCACGGTGCACAAGCGAATAATAGAGATTATATTCTCGCCTTCATCAGTACATGGATTCCAGGGGAGTGTTAGGACAAACAAATCCACATTCTACAAGTCTCACTACAAGGTCAGTTCGGTACCCCGGACTGCCACCAAGTGTCACCAAGTGTCACCCAATATATGACACCTACGATCACTATGACACCTATTACAAATACGACACCTATTATGATTAAACAGTGGTCCCGCCATATGAATATAAGGCGGTAGAATACAAATATGACCCCTCATAAGAGGGTACAATGTACTTACTTCTACTCAGGATATATTTTTCTAACACCAGTCCGGCCTAGAACAAGGGATTATTGAGCCCCGAAAGTGGCCATCGAGTAAGCTGCATGCGGTACCGCCTCTCCGTAATAGAGGACAACTAATCACGCTAACGCTAGTAGGCTTCCCTAATGTGAAAGCTCTTGACAGACACCGACTTATCCCTCCCATGCCCATGGCGGTGGAACTCTCTGGCATTTACTCCAAAAACCTAGGATTTCAACTGTCCCAGGCCATACCGGGTAACGTCCTTGTAAACACATGGACCACCTCGTGTCAGCACTATTTCAGGCTATAGTGTCCTTCCGGGCGTTTGGGTTTCATCGATTCAGCTAGCGCCATCCACGAAATCGATTGGCAATATTCGAGACATTCACTTTTTCTACGGTCACCTATGGTGGTCTGAACATCATTGCATGGGCTCCACCTATATGGCTTGTCGGATTGAACCAGTTGAACGAGCGGCACAACTCAACACTAATCCAGCAACAGCGATCATAACAGCCACTGTTTCTGTGGTTTACTTCCAGCATGACAATTTGCGGGGTACCTTGGTTAGCTACCTGGATCTACATCTCGATAAGATCAACAGTACAAACCGACTCGTCCTACTTACAAAACTCGCTTGGACTCGTAATAGACCTCCAGACAAATTCCCGTTCAGTATTTACACTCATCTGAAATTGAAGGGCGGGTGTACACCCCAACACAAAGAACACCGTAAGGTACGCAAGCAGATCCAGCAGAATACCACGCGATGTCTCTTGGCTAATGAGATATCAATGAAAGCTCGCCGCCAGTACTACTATCGACATGTAGGGGGAAAGCTTTCCATCACGTACACAATCCGAATTCATGCCATGATAGCAACGAACAGGTAAATATTCAAATTGCTTGACTATCGGACTGGTGGATGCGCCTGTCCAGTGGTTGTGCCCCGGAGATAAGACTTTTACATCCAGCCACTTTGCTTATATCATTAGATTAATAAAACATATTCTGGTTGGCCCTAGTCTACCGCCAACTGGATCGGACTTACTACAAAAGCTACATAATCGCTTTCACTTCCCCATATTTATTTTTCACGACGGACCTTTGATCCACATTTCCGTCTCCGAAACGTAAATCTCGGTGACCCGCAGGTCACCAGTGTAAAACTGACTACCCAATTTCAAAAACCCACAGACCCCACCAATAAGTCACATACTAGACCTGGAATGTAGATTTATTTTTTAAAACAAAAAAAAATCCAGTTGGGACCCACAGCCACAAATGTTGGGCCAGGTCAAACCCCCAACTAAGACGTTCGTCACCAAGGACTCCTTGCCCAATGACCAATGGAAATTGGACTTACAAAAATCTATCACAGACCTCTCTGCCCAGGTCAATACTCTACAGGCCAATCTCAACCAAATGTCAGGACCGGCTCTACCAAACCCGAACAATGATGGGCCCATTTCCAAGAAGCCTCTAGCTGACGACCAATGGAAATCAACCATGCATCAAATGCTCACTAAACTATGTGTCAAGGTGAACAACCTCGAATCCGAACTCCGGGACCTAAAATTACAAACATGTGCACCTCTAAATGAAGGCACACCCCACACCATCCGAATCGGCTCCACAAGCCCGCCTGCCCCGCCAGCAAAAATACCGCGGCCGAAGGCACCCAATAGCAGCAGTGAGCCTCCCAGCTATTGCTCAAAAGTGGACAAACCCGCAAAACCGAGCCCCAAAAAAGGACCGACCACACCAGCTTCTCAACCCCTACTGCAGCCGCCAGTACCCACACACCTTTTGACGAAAGTGATGGGCCGCCCGATGCCGGACAAAACTTTCCACAAAATGGATGACGTAACTCCGGTATGGCTCTTCTTTCGGGCAATTTTTCCTAGCGGCAAGCCTCCATCTCAATCAGAATTTGAAAATTACTGGCACGCCCAACCGCTCCTCAATCGCCATCACTTCCTTTGGTATCTCCCGTCCAAACCGATTTATCAACTAAATCGCCACGGGAGTTCCACCAGTTTCGTCCGCCTTTGTGTTCCTAGTGACGCTGTTGCCCAGGTGAAACGAGACAGTTCTCTGTCTGTCGGTCTGTCTGTCTGTCTGTCTTTATATATATATATTTTGGGGGGGAGAGGGAGTGGATTTTTATTGTTCTTTTATATACATTAAATCAGTGCAAATTATATTGAATAACCATTGGTCAAATTCTAGCTACTAATCTCACCTGTGTACATCCTAAAGCTGAAAATAGCTGCAAAGTTTGGTCCTCAGCTAAACGAATAGAAAAAGGGCTGTATCGACATTCGAAAAAGGAGACGAATCATATTTGTACATCTGAAAGTTACCAACGAAACCGTAAAAGAGGTATAACTGGGATTTCGGTTGTATATATATTCGTGTTATCACTGTTCATGCAAAATTTAGCTGTTGTCGGACTTTTGCCAACCTGACTTTATTACTTTTTTATTTGCAGAGTACAACATGAAGATACTCAAAACCGGAAAAACTTTGAAAAGTTTTAGACAAGTATACTGCCCCACAAGCATCTTGATTCCGCTTCAAAAGCACAAGCAGAGTTGATACTCAAACCATCACAATTGAAAGGGCATGTGAGAACAGTAGCAAATCGTACATTGATCACACAAAACAACTACAACTGATAGACTCCGTACGAGATACTCCTATGAAGGTTCCAGACACTACATTCGTAATGTATAAAACTACATGTACTTACTTAAAAACCGATATTCCTATGTCCGATGGAATCTACTTCGTACTTGGTGGCATGAAGTGAGTTTGTAAATATCTACCAAGATGAGATGCGTTCGATGCTGCACATATGAATACTATTTACAGTGGTGTACTTCAGTTTTTCACCACATACAATGCTAATGGCCATCTGGAGTTGTTGGCTATCTCGGCAGCGAGCAAAAGAAATGGGCTTTACTGGAACAGGTTCAAGGAGCTCTCTGATAGATATTCCAGATATATCTGCGTACCTCGTAGATAAAGAATAAGGTAAGTATATCGTTTTAGATTTATAGTGACGATACCATATTTTAAGTGGGATAAATCCATATTTAATATCTTTTATATAGAACAAGTATTTAATAATTGGAAGTATAGCCGTGTTTAAATAGGCATTCATGAGGGTATCGCAAATTCAGTGCATCAAGTTGAAGATAGGACTTGTATACTGCATGCCATCAAAATAATATGAACAAAGGTCGACTTGGTAGAAACGAAAAACCAACTCATCAGTCGATAATTGCTATGATTAGAGCTGCTACCGAACAGGGATACAACTTCCACGCTCAGGTAAATATTTATTTGTATACAGACGAGACTAGGAATGGGCTTTTTCTTGCACTTTATGCACAATTGTGGGTTGGTTGTGAAAATATCTGCTTACTTATGAATCTTAGAGTAATAGAGACTAACCACGAACTTGGAGAGAATATTATGGAATACTTAGAGAGCCGAAAGGAATAATTCGCTAAATATCTATTCGTGGAGGCTCGTCGAGAACACAATGCAGGCTTCACTGATCCAGAAACGTGCGTAATTGGTAGTTTAGTCCGACATGTTAATCGCCAATTGTATGTTTAGTGTTAATTAAGATGAATTATTCAACCTTTACAAATTCAACGCGGCTCCTCTCTTGAGTATCGGATATACAACAGCTATGGTTGTGTCAAAGGTCAAATAACTTACAATGTGGCAGGTATGTAGACAATTCGTCATACACTTACCAGTGACTTGCCTTGCCGCCAAGAAAAACTAAAACCCTAAAAACACTAGTCAACCCCTAAAAGTATTTACTTCGCAATTATGACAGAGTAAGCAAATTTTGTGCACCTGGCCATGAGAAGTGTAATATAATCAATATGCTTATACTTTATTCGAATTGGCATATGAAGAAGAGAAAAGAGTATCTGAAAGAAGCTAGACAACTGAAGCGTGAAGGAAAGCAGGTATTCAATATTGATATCAAATGAAACATGTTTGATCGACCAACGCTTTTTACGGATTTTATTTCTCCAGGTGACACCCTGGGCAGTAGAAAAGACTATAGCCCACCTCAATAAGTTAAAACCATGCACCGTGATTATCGTGAGGTTGGTTCGATTGACAGGTAAACTTCAAATCGCACAGTTTAACAGTCCAGACCTGCTCAGTCAAGCTGGTACACTCTCGGGGAGTTATAGATTGCTAGACCTGCAATTTGCATGTGTCTGAAGGTATCGCATACGGGCATGCTGCTAAGTGTTTTGTGCACATTGCTAAAGTATCTAACGTGAATAGTATCGCAAGTGAGTATAACCTGTACAACAAATGCTGGTATTCGCGATTGTTTTCGGTGAACAACATTTACATCTTGCAAACCAGTTTCACGGGACAATCGATTCCTTTAACTTTGAAAATATGGAGCAGCATTCACTGCTTCCCTGTCCTACACCGAGACCAGCGGATCGCCCAAAGAAACGGTACGAAAAGGTATCTTATAGGTAAGTAGTTGTGTTTTGATGCGTTTGCATTAAAAAATACTGACCTCTTTCAAAGACCAATATGTGAAATATCTTTTCCACTATGATTGTATCAGGGATCATGTGCTTAAGAAGACTATAACGTGCTCGAAGTGTGGAGAAGCTGGCCAGAACATCAACACCTGTGATGGCGAGTATGTAGTTTATTCCTTTATTTGATTCTGCGCGCGTGAGTCAGTCTCTACAGCATCCCTTGTGTCTTTTGTGTAATGAATTGTGGTTTTCTCGCTTAACTTTTCTATGACTCTCTTACAGCGACGTATACGAAAGCCAATAGAAGATCTCGAGAGTTCAAGGTAAGTGAGAGACTACATGAGTAGACGCATTTTTTATATCCGTTAATAACGTTTTACGTCGTCAGCCCGAGAGTAATTTGGGACTTGTTCTCAAATTAATATAAGTATATGTGGGTCAGCCTGAGAGAACGTAAGAGTAATTTGAGACCTCTTTTATAGGACACGGGCCACCGGCTAGCCGAGAGCTGAGGTCCGAGACTGAGTGTAGTAACAGAGAATATGATATATTTATTTCTGGAAAATATATCCGAGTGCTAAAGTGTTCTGCACAAGGTTTCTCATACTGATCATATAAGTTTTTACCCTGGCCAACCCAAGTGGTTGAACACTAGTACAAACACCATCAGTATATAACTGAGGGTGAGATCATAATTAAATTTATCCGAACGTACCATATTTTAGATACACTAGCACTTTACTTATAGTCCCCCACATCGCACGCTAACAGTAAGGATTTTTTTGTTTGTAATACATTGAGTTTGTTGCTTGTGATGTATTGTGTAACTAACATCCAGGTGTTGTGAATCACCTGCTCAAACGCACAGAGAAAGAAAAAAGCAAACGAAGATGCACGCAGTGGACCAAAACAGTGACACCGTCAAGGATTCGCCCCTACGGAAGATGCCAACGACTGATGCGCCACTATCGTCAACGTCATCTGTCACATATGTCTATTCGCTTTCTTTATAATATTGAATCGATGCTAATCAGGAAAGTAATTGGAGGGTTTCTTTTAATGATCGTGACTTTAACAAAAGTCCGTTCACGGAGAAAAGGCAAGACGCAGTAATACGTGTATCGAAGAACTGATGCCGGCAATGGGAACAAGCGATTTATTCGGGAGAGTATCAAAAGGGAGTTTCTCTACATAAACTTATCAAGCAATATGAAAAGAGAGGGAAATTTTTCTCTTTATGGCTTTGCCTGATTTTGCCGGTATGTATACGATTAAACCATGTCAGTGGCACATCGAATTGATATAGAACATTTTCAACATGTATCTCTCACAGAATAAATTGATACAAAGTCTGACTTCCATAGTTTAATTTGCCCTGCCACCGCCCTGTCACAGATATCATTACGTCCGTCCCATACGCTGATAACAATCCGACCCGTATACAGGCGGAAAATTCGCCACTGAGATGTGACACGGAAATCGGTGAAAATTTGTTTTTCAGGCTGTATCTCTGGATATTTGAGTTAATGTAAAGACTATGTTTGAGTAAAATAAAGACTATATTCACATTTATGGCCTTAAAACTTGTGCTTGCTGACGAAAATATATACATTACTTGGAGACAGGCTCTTCCTCTGCCAGTGCAGACAAGGAACGGACATTGTATCAACAACGACAATGACTACGCATCAAGGTGTGTTTACATATTTGAGAATGACTGTCATTTCTCTATAAGATGAAGCTCGGTAAAGTCTTCACTGAACCCAATTTCCCAAGCTACCATTAGCAGTGTACTGCCATGGGAATTAGAACATCGAACATAGCAGGCCGAAATTCATGCATCCGGTTCACCAATAAAAAAATGACTGCAAACCGCAATGCACGCCTAGCAGCCAAACGAAGTGAAAGGCTTGGCAAGTCTAAGGTGTTAATGTCTAGCAAAAATATGTTTTATCGATCTACGTTGCTGAGAAAGATAGCGTCGCCTTCTGTTAAGCAGTGAGAACAGTGAACATGTAGAAAAGAAGCGAAAGGAGATAATCAACGTAGTTACCAGTGTAGCAATAGGTACTGTGTCAGAGTCGAAGTCATTTTATATCGGCGACTGGATCTTGCAGGAAAGCAATGTATTACAATGCTGCGAACCAGGGGAGTGACATTTTATATCGGCGACTGGATCTTGCAGGAAAGCAATGTATTACAAAGCTGCGAACCAGGGGAGTGGATCAAAGGCTCGCTTATATCCGGAGTATTCTACCATTTGTCGCAATTACCTTCTTAGGCTGTTCGTTTCTGTGATGCGAATACACATAGAGACTATTATACAGGTATTGTAGGGCAGAAAGCTTACGACTTAAGGGACCACCACAGGTGTCCGAAAGGATCTCTATATTGATCCCGTGGAATCGTAGCAACGCATATTGGACCTTAGTGGTTGTTACATTGTACAAAACAACCGCAAGAATATCTATTTAGGATGGTATGCCAAGTCCTGCTAGAGCTGACGACCAATTCAGTTATATAGTACGATGGATAAAATGTTACCTCACAGATAATGTAACATACAGCCTCAGAGTAGGTGGTAAAACCCAACACGACAGTTTTAGCTGTGGGGGGTTGCTTTGTGCCAATGCTAGAGCATTATCAGAAAATCTACGACTCGTGCATGATTTGGAGGCATTGTCTTCGCACGGCTATGTCACAAGTGTCCAATATGACAACAGAAATAGAAAATGGATTTCCAAAACACTATTTTAGTATGTTCCTGCAAAAGAGCATCACAGACCACGTGAGTTGCGCACCAGGCAGTGAGATAAGCTTGAATGAAGTAACATATATCAATACCAAATAATAAAAGACAACATCCCCCCCCCTTAACAAATTTATTCGTAAAAAATGGATGTAGCCGACGGCTCTTTAATTCAAAATTAAACAAATTTTGCACGATAAAGTCAGTAAATGTACATTAAAAAAAAATTATTGTCGCTATTAAAATGTACATTTGTACATAATTGATCAAAATTTCAGTACGTTTTCACCGGTATATTGGGGCGAATGTACGTTTAGTGACATTTTTGTTCTTGAAAGTACCAGTGGCAGCTTATTCGAACACTCTTCAAAGGGCCACCGATATTTCGGAAATAATTTCAATAGAACAAGCGATACTTGTTGGCGCTCCAAGTTGCTTGGCAATACATTAACGCGATTGATATATGCATGAGCAAACATCTATTATCTTGGTGCATAGTGTACAGTTTTGTCGTATCCTTTGGATGTCGCAGATACCCGCTGGCAACTGAAAATCTGTAGATGATACTATGCTCGGTTATTTTAATATATATCCATTTCTAATCATATTGTTCACAATGTGAATCCGACAATAATTAGAAAGCATTTCTCAACCATTATTCATGATACTGCTGGACAAGGACTGCTGTGTAGTGATGATCTGGAGGTTCTGGACTTAAGATGCACCTTGAAAGTCAACTTAATAGCAGCACTCACGTCGAAGATGGTAAGATATATGGTAGCGCCCGCCACTTGAGCCTTAGCGATAGTAACAGGTGTAAGATTGTACGGCTATTCCTTTATACATCATTTTATATATAAAAAAGTTTAAACTTCAAATTCATTGATAGCCTCTTCACACTATTAGAACACTTGTTATACACAAAACTGAACAAAATCGGTAATTACTCATAGTAAAGATTTATATTCGATCACGAATTGGACTAATCGTGGCTTATATCATTCTGTTAATCAATTTAAAAGATGGGTGAAATTCTAGGTGTGGCTTGACATGATTACCAGGTTGATGATTTGATTTCAGAATTCACATTCAAAAATTTGATTTATGTATATCTTGTCAAGAGCGAGGTAAAAAAAATTCTACTACGAAATCAGCTTGGGTTGATCATTGTAACTGATTCCCCAAATGAATCTAGATCAAGATATCCAGTGATAGGTTCCCATGTAGGCCATGTACATTTAGAGTATTTCCTCGCAGAGCTATGCATTCAAAGTCGCATCTCAAACCTCACTTTTATTCAATTTACTACCGACGTCTAAAGCTGAATTTCACTCGACCATTGGTCGACTCAATTCTTTCACGCGACGGCAATAAATAATGACAAGCGTACACAACCTAAATTTGCCTGGCCAACATGTCGGTTTTTGGCTATGTCTGGCGGTGCAAATTTTTGCATTTGAAAGTATCAATAAAAAAACATTCAACTGTAGCGCTTGTTCTTGTTTCACACCTTAAATCAATATGGTGTCGAGGAAGTTCGAGCCGGATCTAGTACTCAGTGCAGAAATGCCATATTCCAAATACAAGCAAGGGTATCGATAGAGATCTATCAACCAGTATATTGGGGACACTGGCTATATGAAACAATGGTTTAGTAGCGGTATTTTATGTATCCTTTTTAGACATTCGAGATACGGTAATCTGTTCGTGAACTGTTTGTTTGCCATCAATGGGCCATTCTTTCAGCTTTCATTTTTTTCTAACGAGCATATAGATTTCTCATGAATGTTGGATCTGAAAGGTTATCTCCTAAACAAGTTGCTTGTTGTATAGTGATGAGGCCTTTGTAGTGGCATCGTATTATGCCATTTTTCAACTCTATCGATCCCTTTGAATATTTGTCATAAGGGGTATTTATGTGAATGCTTTTTGACCGATGCGACAGTATCAAGGTTGGTTCTCAATTTCCTTTTAGTAACCTCGACACAATAATTTTTCAGTCAAAAGGTCGACATAAGCTTGCTATGCACTATACTGATAAGCGCACTCATCCTAGGATCAGAACATTGAAGGTTGTAACACAGCGTGCTATTGAAATCTTTGTAACGCTTGTTGTGTTAATGTAGTTTCAAACAGTGAAACACGTCAGTGCTAGATTAAATCCAATTGGAAGGCGTTATTTTCAGGGTGCGTTTGGGGCTTCGCTTAGATAACTACTCATGCTCCGCAGTGAACATGCCTTTTTAAACATTTTCCAGCGTGACTGTGTTAAGTTATACACCGTTTGTGCAAGATGTTTCTAGATTAGTTATTTGAAGGTCATGGTCGAATGAGATATCATAACAGAAATGCGGGCTTCTATCCTTGGGTGTTTTTAAATATTTCAGCAGAACGTTGACTATATCAACAGCACACTAATTGCTAGATAGAGTATATGAATTCGAAGTAAGGTAGAAATATCAATTGCCAGCCGACATATAAGTGATGTATATAAAAACAGGTTTGAACTCGCCCTAGCGCACGCACTACATAGCTCGTGGTAAGGTAGCTAAACTGATTACAGTTTTAAGCCTGATTCGATGCAAATATATAACAAGTATAACCAGCAAAAAAATGTTAAAATATCCACTTATAGTTCCGTAACAATCAGCAGTCGTCACAAGGTAAATTTGTACCGACAGCACAGTAGCGTACGGTGCAGGATATTCGAATCGTTAGGAGTACTGGAAACTAGATATCGGAATCTGCTTTCTTTTAAATAAACTGACTTCAGCCTGACTAATATATCACATATAATTAGTAATTGACCGTTTCAGGATGTTGTCCGTAGTAAAACCTTCTGGTTTATATAAGCCAGTCCCCTGCGAGGTACAGTGTCGACTAGCTTGTCAAGCTAAGAAATCTAATTCACCTCTTAACTCAACAACCAGGCAGGAAATAGTATTTGTATATGATCGAGAAATTCGAGGGTTAAATGGTGATCAGTCAAAAATCAACCTTCACACAACCCGGATGTGAAACGGTTGTAAGATCTGTTGTCACGTGAGGACAAACTCCAGATTCAGCACGAGTAGTGAACATCAATTCGTTAAAGCGATTTAAAGCGATTTACCGGACTCGTTTATTCTCCAAGTTCCATTTTTTTTTACGTAAGTGAGGAATGGCATCCAAATTACCAACTTGATTGTCACTTATGTCTTTTATATCTATGTTAACGATATATTGAGACAGGCTTAAGGCACGCGGCGTTCTAAAATCTCAGTACTGCTGTAGCCAGTGACTATGGTATATCATACTTTCACGTTTATCGTATCCCAGATACCCTTTCTACCTATTCTAGCCTAATACTACTGTCCAACCTGACGAGCGCACTTGGAAAATTCAAATACCGCCACGGGAGTTGGTCTCCTTGGTATTTATAACAGCGAGTTAAAGAGTGGCAGTGTGCTTTCAAAAAGTTTCTCATACTGACCATATGAAATTTTAAGCTGGCTTATTCAAGTTGTTTGAAATAAAAGCATAAACACCAGAAGACTTACATTTGCACTTTGTTGCAAGTCTAACACTGGCATCTGGATACTTTGTAATCCAATATATGCAAATTCAATCTAAAGCAAACTCAACGAACAGGTTGGGATGGAATAAAAAGCATCGGGTTTGGTCGAGAGAAGATAACCAATATAAGTGCCTAGAACTGCAATCACAAACAATAGTGTTAGTAACCATCTTTTCACTTTTAGAAAGGTGATACTGGGCGGGCATGGAATTGACGTATACCGCGAGGTGCAGTCGTACTGTCGGTTTAGTGGCAGGTGACTTGCTGATTTACACAGTCTACAAGGATGTCGCCCTGCTCACACCAGAAGAACCTACTCGAACTGTCTGAAGATTTGCTCAAAGATATCTACATCACCTAAAGCCTAAAGAAATTCATTAGACAGAGAACTCAGAGAATAGCGTATCACATGAATATGAATTTATTTCTCATATAACGCATTGTATATCCGACTCCACCTCCCCCTGTATACAGTGCGAGTTGCTTACATGTTTGTTTGTTATTACAGTCTTGAGATGCAAGCTTTATGTATTATGTTTCCAGGGGAGCACCGAATTGTGATGATACTGACGTACACGACCAGATGCAGTCGCAACCTTACAATCAAAAGAGAATTTCTGTATAACTCCCTCAACACTGTGAATCGGTAGGGTATATCCAACCAACACAGCGTTTTCTATACAGGAGTCGCAGTCGTACGAAAAACTTTTAAATTGTTTTTGTCGAACACACAGTTTTACTATTATTATACGGAAGTCGCAGAGTACTGACCGGTTCTTGTGTATGGGTGCGCTAGAAGTGAGAATCATGATTGCTAGCAAGCTGTTGTAAGTGAAGCAAACGAATTCTCTTCTTGATTATCCGATGCAATTTGCGTTCATTTTAAGTAATTATCTACTCCGGATACCTACACTTTTCTATAATCGTTCATAATTCTTGGAACATTTTTGTCGTGCTTGTGCATGAGTGCGCTACAAGTGAGAAAAACGATTGCTAGAAAGCCGTTGTAAGTGTAACTCAAAATTCAAATAGTTATTTGTTCAAATATCTACGCTTTTCTGTGATCGCCCACAGATATTGTAATATCATGTCCATGCGCATTTTACCAATTTATTGTGAATCCACAACGAATTCGCGTACATCGGCTAAAAGTGCCTCAAGGTATTGTGTGTTGTTTGCTGTATTTTATACTATCACATTATACCATCATGATTTGCACTCGTTCACTAAAAATGTTCTAGGAGGTCGTGAAACGTGTAGCTAATCATACAATGATGATCGTTATCAACTAAATATACTTCAAATGAGAAGTAAAGTTATCCCCATTTGTACCTCCAATTTCATCACTGTAAAATAGGTTGCTATTTTTACCGGACCTCACTGATGAGCAGCAATGTCGAAGTAAAATAATATGAATATCGATATTGTAGTTTTGAAAGTTTGGCAGTAACAAAAGTACATGGTACGTCGATCTCAGATGACGACAATGGGGAAAAATCTGCCCGCATTTGCGAGTCATCTTGTTTATACATAGCATCGCAGTTCTATGATGTTAGTTAAATTATGCATGTGGAGAAAATAGGTTTCCGACGACAGCGGCATGTTGAGGTACGCTTGAAAATTGCAGGAACGCGATTACATAGGGATTATCAGGTTTTAATGACTGATATGTCACTTGAGATTTGGGCTTTAGTGGTTTTCTCGGGACAGCCATGCTTCTTATCTCTGTGTGCTTCTCTTTCCTCAGAGATGTGGCCACTTTCGCACAACGGGTACATCCACTTTTGGTTTAAATCATATAACCATTATTGACGACTAAAGAAAGGTGGCGCTGAAGTTGTACGTGGCCATTCGGTCATACGAATGGGCGGTCAGACAGTTATTCTATATAGGCAAAGCGAATGATAGATTGGAGTATAGAAATTTCAATCGCATGCGAAGAAGAAATATCCACAAATTACAGAATTATTCTATTGCAGAATCGCCGCAGCCCAACTTGCTACTACGGGGATATCACAGAGCTGCGATCTATGGGTTCGATTCCCCGATTTCCAAAAGTTTTCTGTGATAGCGTGTTGTCGCAGCGCTACTGAGTCCTGGGGAACAAGGGGACTCGTGCCTAATAGGTTACAGTTTTGTGATATCCTCGTAGTAGCAAGTTGGTTAACCACTCCTACTACGGGGATATCACAGGTACAGTATCGACCACGGTGTATAAAGAGGTGTGATCTGGATTTCGTTGCTCGCACCTCGTTTCTAATGTAACTTCTGGGCCATATAGTCTGGGGAATTACCTAAGAAGTATTCATAGTTCTGGTTACAGAAGCCAGTATAGATAGCATCGACTCGTACGGTATTGATGCTTCGGTGATTCGCAGATTTATTGTAGTGGCCTGGTGACTTGGAAAAGTAGCTTCTAGTAGAGAGCACGAGATTAACTCTCATCATAGCCCCGCCACTTTTCCCATCCCCCGAATACGAGGCCACTTCTTCACTACGATAGTCGTATTCACGGTTGTGTCTCGATCAATCTGGATTGGCACCGTGTGTGTACCGGACACATTTATTGGAGATTCCAGAAGAATGGCAGCTAAATATAAGTGTAAAAAAATAGTTCATATAAATTAATGCGGATACGGTTTTGGTGTATGTATTTGGAACATGCAGCACATCTAAGTATGACAAAATTCATCGTTTGCGAATGCAGACAATTTGCAGAGACGATCAACATATCACACACAATTGTATTGATATTAAATCAGTTGAGCGTTGTCCACCGCGACTACATTGGCGTACGAATTGCCATTTTATAGCTCCCAACCGAAAATCTTTGGATCACACAAAAATCAATCATGAAGGCTGTGAAGTATAATATACACTATTCCAAAATATGTATAGGTACAGGAGTTATACTTTACTGACAAGAGTTTGAAATCGCGAAATGCCACAAAATTGCACACACATAACCAGAAGAATGCCACGCATGCGACGATATATAACTATCCTTTACTCTGCGTTTGTGTGTGCACAAACCTGGATTTATATCGATCTTCAGTTTGTTGCGGAAGTGTTCTGCGAGCTTAAGTGCAGATAGTTGCAGATTGCGAGGATTGTCTTGGCCCAGCTGTACATTGAGTGTCGAAATGAGCAAATTGTGTATAAGTATCGCTACGTCTGCTGACAAGCATGAGAGAAGGGCATAACTGTCGAACTATTGGGAATCATAGTTGGGTGCGTGTGCCGGAGAGATCGAATTGAAGATATACGAGGACCCAATTTTCGTCTTAAGCACAGAATGTGGATCTGGACTGTACCTACCTACCTACAATAGGCTGATATGGACCAACATGCATTCTTATACCATCTACATGCTCACGGCGGTGTCCACATAAACACCCCGACTGCACCATAGGCGATGCTGTCCCCATTCATGCAACAGTCAGCTTTGCGTAAAACTATATATTCTTGCGGTGAGTGTGCCATATTGCATGTATCAGTGCCCGCTAATGCCATTTAAAACTCAGAGACCAATAACTGCGCGCAGAGGTGTCTCAGATAAAATCCAAAACTAATCCGAGACCAAAAAACGTATGTGAACCAACATACTTCGATTATAGAGTTTTTGAAGAGCTGCGCATATCGGTCCCTTCGCTTCGTATACGAGTCCGTCTTTTCCTTTCCCCCGTTATCTGCGCCGATCAAAGCTTTAAGCTCTTTGCGTTCTCTCGGTGTAGCATAGCGTGCTTGCTTAGAAGGAAGTAACTGGTTGCGCAGCCGCCCGTGTGCCACAGCTACGGACATCCCAGTCTCTCCCAATCCTACGGTTAAATTGCGTGGACGGGGGTTTAAAGGCTAATTTTAATCCACCCGTGGTTAAGATGTAGTTTGCGGTTTAGGACAACGGTATGTGCCGAATGTGGACAAACTTGGGATCTCTATCGTCGAGTAAGATATGCTGGTCGCGTCAAAGGTACACAGAACCTTTCCGCGAAAGTTGAATGTACTTTGATCCGAGCTCCCGTTTATCATAACACAAAGCGTGTGCCGCGTAAATAACAAAAGCACCCCCCCCCCCCCCCTTTGGTTGAACGTGTTTATAAAACGGATGCACAAAATGGAAAATGGGAGCATATCAGAAGTTTAGACTTTCAAATCAGCAATACAGGCACGAATATAGTCACGTGCGAGGCATGGGTTAGTATGTTTCTGTGTCTAAAGCTATTACTATTGGAATGGATCCTATTGTATAGACTTACCTTCAACATCTTGCAGAAGCACGGCTCCGACCTTCGGGCTCTTGTTAGCTTTAATACCTTTCTTGGTATACGACTGCACACAAATAAATCAGAAATGAGAATGAGAAGAAAAAAAAGCCACAGCTACGCGGGAACGAGTTTTAATTCATGTACATGCAGATTATAAATTCAGGTCCAATAAAAGAATACAATACTATTCAGGTCAGACAACAACAGAATAATATGTATAAATCCATTCAACATCTCATGCACAGGAATATTCATGACATGAGAGCATCCCAGTGGCAACCAAATTCCACTAGGACAACAAAACAATATATATAAATCCATTCAACATCTCATGCACAGCAATACTCATGACATGAGAGCATCCCAGCGGCAACCATGCTTGTAAATTTGATAAAGATACTCTTACATACGTAATTAAGTATGATTTATGTATATATATATATATATATATATGAATACACAGACACAGACAATCACACGCACACATCTATATATACACATATATATGCATACATATATACATGTGAATATACATATATACATACACACACACACACACACACACGCACATATATATAATATATAATATATATATATGCATATACATATACGTGAATTTATGTGTGCATATTTGTAAACATGGGTTTATATAAATATACACACAGACACACACATAGACACACAGACAAACACAGACACACATTCAAATATAAATATATATACACACACACACACATATATATA